CAGCCTCTTCTCCGTGGTGCCCAGCAACAGGACAAGAGGCAACGGGCAGAAACTGAACCACAGGAAGTTCCATCTGAACATGAGGAAAAACTTCTTTCCTGGGAGGGTGACGGAGCCCTGGAAGAGGTTGCCCAGAGAGGTTGTGGAGTCTCCTTCGCTGGAGATATTCAAAACTCGCCTGGACGCAATCCTGTGCGGTGTGCTCTAGAGGACCCTGCTTGAGCAGGGGGGTTGGACTAGATGACCTCCAGAGGTCCCTTCCAACCTTGGCTATTCTGTGATTCTGTATTTAAATGGATATTTATAAGCAAGTTTCAGATCCAATACTATGGTCGAAGTGAGATGTTTAAGGAACAGAAAGGGTTTTCCTTTCTAATTGAAAGTTAAAATACATTTTCTTTCTTACTTGTAAGACAACACAGCACTGAATAAAGTCATCAAAAGCAACTTGTCCTCTTCCTTGTCTGTCAAATTTCCGAATAAGGACATCATAGAACTGGTCAGACAGTCGATAACCTTGTAAGAAAGAAATGCTTTAAAAGCCTTTACTCAACTACAGTCATTCTGTACAAAGAATAAGGTTATTTAAAGGACAGGTATAACAAAAGAAAAAATAAGCAGTTTTAAGAGACAAGTGTTCCTTTTTTGATGAGTATATCTACTGCATAACAACAGCATTCAACTAAAATGCATTCAATAAAATCATGCTCAATAATGATTATATACAAAGTCACAGCAAACAATTACTGATTATACTGACTAGTTGGTGAGAAAACTGTTTAGGGCTGTGCCTCAGGTTTTTATAAATGAAGTAAATTGTATTAAGAATTGCCATCAGAATGCTACTGCAGTGTAGACAGCTGGCCTCATTTTAAAATTAGAAAAGCTGTTTCAAGTCCCTTCCTAAGTTAAAATATTTTAACTGAAATATTGGTAATGCTCTCAAAATGCCTAACAGAAAATATTCCATGCTTGTGTATTGACATATCTAGTTTCATTTTTTCCATTAAGGGGCAGGGGGAGGGGGGGGAGTGCTTGCAGCATGGTACCTTTAAAAGGCACCTTAAACCTAAAAAGGAAAACTACCTTTCACCCATCTCATTTTGCTTTTTAGTTACATTTGCCAGAGTAGTACAGCCCTAACAGTACGCTCTTTTGAGCACATAAACCTATCAAAAAGCTGTAATTACAAATGAATTACCAAAACCTGTTAGTGCTTGCTTTAGCTCATTTTTGTCAATCATTCCAGAATTGTCTCTATCATACGTTCGAAAGACATTCTGCCAGTCTGAGATATACTTCCAGACTCCTGTGAATTCATTGAAGTTCACACCACCTTTGTTTTCTCTGTCAAACATGCCTGAAACAAAGAAAAGAAATACATATTAAATAAGTTTTACTGAAGAGGTGTTTTTTTTTTTTTTTTTTTTTTTTAAGGGAACTGAGAGCACTTTGGAAAGTTCTGAAGAAAGATGAGAAGTTGCTGAGATACAAGTGACTTTTTGGAAAGTTCTGCTAATCAAAAGCAAACCCCAAAGTCCAGTTAAGGGGAAAGGATAAAGCAAGTTAAAAGAGGATGAATCACAGAATAACATTTATTCTTCCTGGATTTTAATTTCCAATGTGAAAGCAAAAATATCAAGGGCTTGACTGATCATCCAGTGACAAAACGAGAGTGTTGCTCTTTTCTAAGGACTCATGAAATGAAGAAGTCTACAACACCCCCTGACTGGTGAAGGTGCTGAAATGCTACTTTGCATTTGATTTATTGATACTTGTCAAGCCGTGTCTTTTTTATACAAATGGCACGTGCATGGCAACAGAATTCTGATTCCTGCT